TTAGAAATACATATTAGGCAATGTCTTGAAATAGTACAGAACTAATCAAAGAGGTAGTTTAAAACCTATAAAACAGTTTTCTGCAAATGAAGCTTAAAGCTCTTAAATTCTAATAAGACTGCCAGTTAAATCATAAAGACTATCGTAGACTACATGGAGTTCAGGAAGGAATAATTATAATAGGTTTGTGTCATTTGGGGTTTAATTTGTTGTAGGCTCTCGGGGATTTCTTATATTTACTTTTTTTTTCTTCAGAATAATAGATGATTTCAAGAAGTTCACCTGATCTCTTAGCTTCAGTTAGACTCCATCTTCAGTGTAGAAATATTAGAAAACCTACACTGCTTGTCTGCGATGACTTTAACTCTAGCCACTTTCAGCATATGGAGGATAAAAGAATATTTTCGTTAGTTAGTAGCTATCCATATCAAAATTATTTCGATATATCCCTGGCTATAAAGCTAAATTGATGTCTGATATTAGTACTATATAAAAAAATGTGTGTGTTTATTTTTGAACAATGTATCAAATAATGATTTCTTTATTATATGTACATTGTTATCATAATAATTTAATACATATTTATGGAGAAAAAACTTAAAAATTTATCGTATATTCAGTGTCAATGGATTTCAAAGAAAAAAATATACATATTCAAAATTGATACTCGTTTTCTTGAACACACTTCTATAGATACACACCTATAGATCCCAAAATACCCGGTGATATACGGCGTTTCGCTAGACGGGACAACAAACGAGATAGAGATGAAAAAATACATCTATTTCCTTAATATCCGTTGCGTCTATTTTAGAATAGGCTGAACGATGGCTTTTCGTATAACGACATCGTACCATTTTCGTGCTTTCATTCTGTGTGTAACTTCTTATGTTACGTATAATTCACTGCAGCTCTTTGAAGATAGAGACAGGATTAATGAAGCATTGGAAGATGAGTGGACCAATGTCGGAATTTTATTTAAGTATTTTTGTCGGATATTTCGGTTTGCGCCATTACATAATATTTTACTTTTTATTATTTTAACCTTATTTTAAAATCGTTGGACTAGTTAAAAGTCACTTTCTTGTAGAAAGCTCGAGCTTCCAACTTCTTTAAGTTGTCTTACTTAGACCACTCATGGTCTGCAGTACCACCTCATGATGTCTGTTTTCTATCTTCGTCGTCGTATTAATTTAGAGAAGATTAATTAGACTCATTATAATTGAATAAAATTTGAAGATTATTGATCCATTACTTCCGTTCCCGTAAACATTAACTATAACTGCTCAAGATTGCTGATGAATGCAGTAAGAACATGGAGTTTAGTATCAACACCAAAATTTCGTGAATTCTTAACATTGGATGTTGGCAATCATGTTGTTTCATATAATCCTATTGACAGCCGCCCTGAATAAATGTATGATCGTCATTCCCGTTCACTGTCTAATATTTTTCAGCCATGATGTTCGTCGGCGTCCTCTTCTACTATTTATTTTACCCTGCAGTATTAGTTGGATAAGGTGGTATTTATCATTACGCATCACATGCCCAAGTTATGCCATTTTTTGTCACTTTCACATTATGTATAATTTCTAGTACCTTTTGTATTTGTAGGATTACGGTGTTGTGACATGGTAAGTGTATGAAAACCTGAGCATGCGGCGATAGCACCACATTTCAAAAGCTTCCAAGCGTTTAGATGAAGCATCTGTGAAGGTCCAAACTTCCACTCCATATAGGAGCGTGGAGAATACCTACCACCTTAGAACCTGTGTTCTTATAGCAATATTCAGGTGCATATTGCATAGGATCTTTCTAAGGCGGTTAAAAACGGTTCTGGCTTTTTCTATGCGGCATCTGATCTCTCGTGAGTGATGCCATTCCTTGTTCAGGCTGCAGTCCAAATACGTGATTGTATTTGCTATTTCCAAAGTTTCGTTATTGGTCCTAAACGGGTGTTACTGCGCCTCGTCATTTTTACTACAACTATTAGAATTTGCGAGTTAGAAGAAACGAGTAGCTTCTTCTTCTTCTTCTTCGAGTGCCATGTCCTCAACGAACGTTGGCTATCATATTGTCTATTATAATTTTGTTGGCAGCAGCCCTAAAGAGTGCTGCACTTGATTTTTGGAACCAATCCCGCAAATTTCGAAGCCACGATGTGCGTCTACGACCAAGTCCTCTCTTACCCTCTATTTTACCTTGCATAATCAAATGGAGGACGTTGTATCGTTCAGGGTGTCGAATAACGTGCGCAAAATATTCTAACTTCCGGATCTTGATGTTTTTATTTATTTCGGGTTGTTTGGACAAGCGACTCAAAACTTCCTCATTACGAACCTTGTCAACCCAACTTATCCGCAACAATCTCCTATACACCCACATTTCTTTCAAACGAGTAGCTATTAAATATTTATTAAATATTTAGGAACATGACTGTGTGAAAACTGGGAATCTGATACAGAAATCAGATGTAGAATTTAAGACACCCTCAGTGCCTCCATGAAAATCAAAAAGTGTTTACCACTACGGATTTTGATATGGTATGTGCAGGCATGTACACAGGCATGTGCATTGTGAACTAGATTGAGGCATTCGAGTTATGACGCATCTATAGGCGTGTAAAAAATCATCTCTTGTGAATGATCAATAAAGACTGCGCTCTGCTGGACCTTTGCTGGATACAATCAAACGCCGAAAAGCAGCATATCCTAGGTCAGGTGATATGTAACGAGAGATACCTAGACAGATACCATGCAATTCAGTTTAGTTTGTTTGATTACAATTGATAATTGAGGGAAAGAGAAGAGACGACATGAACAGGATGTCGTGGCTTCCCATTGTCAGACAGTGGACGGGACTGAGGACAATGAAAGAACTAATCCAAACAATACGGAATAAGGAAGAATGGACGAATGTGATCCTGAACGCCCATTAGTGGATTTGCAGCAGCAGAAGAAGAAACTCTAACTTTTTTCAAATGGTTCTGTTTTTGAATGCTATTTTCCTTGGTTTCATTAAGACGGAGATGTATTTTTGCCCCCAAACGGACGCCTCTGATCGAATCTAAATATACAAGCGCGCTCATCTCATGGCGTTTGGAAAACGGACAGGAAACCCGGAGTGCATCAGTCAAGGGAACGGAAACAATCGAAAAACGAAATAAACGAAGAGTCCGAAAGATCGCCGATCGTCCGAAAATAGAGTCGTCGCGACATTCGGCTCGCCTCATTTCGTACACCAACACCGACAGAGAACGCGTCTCCGACCTGTTTTTTTTTTCATATTTTGACTGCATTTTTTTCGTTTGGCTCGAAATATGTAATGTGGAATTTGTCAGAATTCTTTAATATCTGAAGATGAATATTTCTCACATTTGAATGATTAAGTTCAATTATTGGTTGGTTCATTGATTTAGTTCAATATTCGAATAATTATGCAAAATTCAGTTATAACTCATCATGTAATTTCAGGGCTTTGACAAAAGCCAGTGTCTGGGACTGTCTTATAGAGGTTAGTTCTCCATCTCCGATATAAATCGTGTTGTCGTCTTGGCACTCTCGGTGATGAGGTGTTCTGGTTCTGTTTCCCATTTTCACCACAGAATCCGTTGGATCTTCTATAATGAAGGCACTGGATTTTTGAATTAGATGAATTTTGCAGTAAGTAGACGATATCTAAGTGTCTTTTATCCTATATTCAAGTGAATGAAAGGTTCAAAAGTTAGGCAACACAATCTAGAGATATTTTATATCTGTTAATAGGAAAAGTTTCGTTCCCACAATTTGCCTCCAAAAATTTTGTTAAAAAATAAAATATTAAATATTCAGCAACGACATTATTGACTCCTCAAAAGTAAAAAGTATACCTACTTTTGTGTCGGCATCTTATTTTTCATAGACTCCTTGTTTATCATACATTTTATTCTCTCGTCGCTTTGACCTGTTTTTTGTAAAAAACTCTCTCTAAAATATATAATTTTATTGGGATTGTCCAATAACTTCAATATTTTTATGAGGTCTAAGTTCCTTTGATGGGTTTCTACTTTTAAGTCGCAGAAATGTTGAATCACAAATTTGTAGTTCAGTTTGCAATGTTGTAGTTTCCATATTTTTGTTCAGGTGATATCTAAGTAGATAGTATCCAGTGAGATGGCTTTTCAGATGCTTTACTTTAAGGCATTTATATTCGGACTGAGTATTTTCTCGAATATTTTATTCAATTATTTATTGATATTATAGATAGTATATTCACTAATTATCTATGATAATTAAGTAGTAATTTTAGGCTATTTAATATATAATCGATTTGAAATATGTAGCAATAATTTTTGTGACTTTTATCTCTAGCCTACAATTTGTATATGACAAATTTAATTTATGCTGTGAATTTTAAAGTGGTACGCAGAAATTTATAATGCTATTTAACTGCACACTTAAACTTTTTATATCAAATTTAATATGATTTAGCAGGTAATTTGTCCAATAGGTTGTAACGTTCAAACTTATTTCCATTAATTTTACATTAATCACGGGCAAAATTATGTTAGAAAGTAATCGTTAAATTTTAAGTTGAATAATTGAAAATAAGTAATAAAATTATTCTGGGTAAAAAAATCATGTTATAAATACTAATGTAGGTAGAATCAATTTATTTATTTATTAGATTTATTAAAGGTTCCTGTATATTTTTGTAAATTGGCAGATGTTTTTATTGCTTTTCGAATTCTTTTGATTTTATGTAATGTAATGTTTTGTGTTATTGAGCGAGCTATATTGATTCCATCATAACAACTTGTCAATAACTGTTAGTCCTTGTTTTGTGAGTACCCAAAGCAAGCTAATTTAGTTTACTAACTTTCATTAGTGTCATTATCTTTTCCTTTTGATCCTACTAACTATAATTTTATTGCTTAGAGGAACCACTGAATATTTATTATGGATTTTTATTTATGTTCGGGTATATTAATATATTTACTAATGTATTCTTGATTGTTTCAGGATGGTCCAAATAGTAGCAGATGAGTTCCTCACGGACGAGAGAGACAGAAAGTACTACGCCGACAACTATACATGTTGTCCCCCGCCACTATTTATTATTATTATTACACTAGTCGAAGTAAGTACCATAGAAAATTTTTTGTCATAATTTATCCACAGCTTATTCCAATACCCAGCGATCTTATCCAATTTCACGTTTGCCGTATACTACAATCTGCCATATACTACATACTGCCATCTACCGTTTTTATTCGTCTATATATGCGAGTAGTCAGAACACGCGTATCTAGGATTGCGGATTTCAATGTAAAAGAGCATATCTAAGTTGACCGGCTGGTACTGAATAGGCTGTGATTTGATTGTTTATTGTTGTAAAACTATTTTTTTAATCTATTCAATCAAACTTATAAAAGTGATATTATTAGTGAACTAGTGATCTACGCGAGTTTACTATATTCTTAAATACAAATACAATAAGTCAATTCACAAGATATATTAGAATATTTTCAAACCAAACTTCAACAAATAAACACTGATACTACATAAAATCTCTTAATTACACAGGATGTTCTCAGATCCCCTCTGCAAGAGGAAAAACTTTTATTATTAACATTTTGAGAAAAAATGCATTCTTTATAAAAAAAAATTATTGTTCTAAAACGGTTAATTCCGTTTATAGTTTTCCAAATTTCTATATCATTTTAGAGAAAAATAGATAAAATTTGAAAATGCCATTTTCTTTGATAGAGTGTTATTAATTTTGATTAAACATTGAACTAAATAAATTTTGTGCTTTATTAACATTTTTAAACAGCAAAAACTACAACGGTAATAAAAATGAATAATAACTACCAATCGAAGAGTGAAAATGAATTGATATTACCACAGAAACACGCTTTGACTTTTAGGACTTTTATTTTAGAACACTGATAAAAAAAGATAGACTTGAACTAAAGTCGTCATCGTTCTTGAAAAAAAAATTTAGTGGCAAGAGAATTTATTTTAGGGTAAAAGAAAATATTTTGCCTGAAGAAAAACTCTCTTCTGGTTCTCTTCAAAAATTCGAAAATTTCTCTTGAATCTATTTTCATTCAACCAAGTGCAAGTTACGTTGTTTTAAGATAATAAGAAAACTACGCTAGGAAGTACTTCATTCAAGAAACATGGCCATTTTTCCAATAGCTAAATACTCTTTTGATGAAAAATAACGACACGCAAAGACAGTCCGATCAGTCGTACGTCGCATTTCATAGGTCGCACATCATAGTACGCACGCGTTTTGTTGCTTGGAATTTTCCACTTGAAATTTTGCATAATTTGTTTTTTAAACGCATATCGTATAACAAATTAGTGATCGTTATTAACATGCATTTGTCATTTTTTATGGACAAATTTTAGGATATATGGATTCTTTAAAGGAGTTTCTGAAAAAAATGGAAAATAGAGCATTTATTTGCTATATTTGAAGGTAAGAGACATTTACCTAATGCACCTGTTTAGATAATGCATGCGTGACTATAGATAGAATAAGAATAATAAATAAGCAAATAATTACAAAAATTTTAGAATTTCAAGTCGTCGTATTAAAAAATTCAAAATGTGACCAAAGCTTATAATTTTAATAATTTATTTGCTTTACTTTGATTAATCGTGATGTGACATTTTTTTGTAATTTGTAGAGTGATGAACCACCCCAAAAAATACCAAGGTGTGAAGAAGCAGAAATAACTACTATCGAGGAAAATAATATCACTTTACTTACTACAGACCAGGAAAACCTAAATTTATCAGAAAATAATATACCTCGTAATATGCCTGTATATGATATATAGACTTCTCTTAGATCAAAATAAATTTTAGTTGAGTCAATAGTATTCGGTTTAAGAAAAGTCTCTCTTTAATCAAGAAATGCCCCTTTTCAATCAAGAATTTTTGCATGAATCAAAGAGACTATTGTTCTTGTAGCAAGAACTTCTTTGCATATTCATTTTGGGTCAAGAATTAAATACTTTGGACAGATAGATTCTTCTATTCTCTAAAGTAATTTTTTAAAGCTTATGAAAATATAGTTAATGCTTTGGGCAAAGAAACGTCGTTCTTGGCCCTATTGAAAAGCGCCAATCTTTTGGGTCAAAGTCATATTCATTTCGACTGAGAGATCCTTTTTTTCAGTGAACAAGCAAAACATTTTTATAAAGTATTTTTTTTTTCAAAATGTTAGTAATAAAAAATATTTTCCTCTTGTAAAGACAATCCAGATTCCAGGAACATATTGTATAAAATATGACCTGGCAAACGTTAAAAGTTTTCGAACAACCTCGTATCTGAATAATTACCTTGCCAATGACGGCAGAAATAATAAGGCAAACATTTTTTCTCGTCGGAGATCTCACCTCGTACATTTACAATTAACAATATTCAATCTGTCAGGGGTGTTTTCCTCATTACAGTTCCAATCTGCTATTAACTCGTCTGTCTCGTAATTATTTACGAGCTTAATATATAAAAGAGAGAAAAAATGCGGCTGCGAATATGGGAACCCACCAAGTAATTGCTAATCTGAGATAGAAAAAGAGAGATAGCGAGAGAGTGTGTGAGAGAGGGCAGTGCTGCCAATAACCGTCGCTAAATACTTGTTAATTTTGCGAAAGCAGATAATTAAGTTTATTTATTATTAAATCGGCGGACAATCACCGTCAGTCGCGTCGGTATGAGAGCTGGGTCAGTGCATATAGTAACTGTTTTGACAACTAACTATACAAGGTGTCCCAGGCTGAGCGTGCATTAGAAGTTTCTAGGAAACTAAAACATCTAGCTCGGAGATTTTTTACACATCATAGTTTCACAACGAGATCTATCGATTAAAAATATTTTGAACATGGCGGCACTTCCGGAAATACCGGAAGTTGACAGTAACTTTCTTATTTTAAATGGGTGCCCCCATTTTTATTATGTACTTAAATTCTCTGTAAAATTTTATGAATTTTGATGTTAAACACTCTATATCTAACATTAACCGTTTTTGAGAAAAAAAATATATTTAAAATTTTTGAACGAAGAAAACTGCCTGTCAAAAATATGTGTATAGCCTAAACGTCAAATTTAGTGATTACCACAGCCACTGTGCCATAAAAAGAGAACATGTGGTTATCTATTTCAAAAATTAAATTGTTCGAATGTCATATAATAATGGCCGCAGCTGCCATAGAATTGAGCGATTAAAAAATTATCATAAATCATTTTTTTCAAATGGAAACCCACTTTTATAATTTCACTAGTGAAAAGGCTTTTCAATTCTTTACTTTCTAACTATACATGTTCCTATACCTAAAATAAATCGTTTTTGAGTTATTTAAGATTTAGTTTTAAAGCGTATATTTTTCTTGATTTTAACCAGTAGCCAATGACTTTAAACGTCAAGTGATGTAAAACAATAGATCTGGCCATACCTTATTGTGACGCTTTGTTCAAAAAGCAGCATCATTTTCAAGCCAACTTTGCGCTGTTTTTTTCGATCATACGGAATATTATTAATAATATCAACTATCAAATATCACTGAAAAGCGAAAATATGAGATATATATTATATATACAGGCAGTATTTATACTATAGGAAATTCAAATAATCGTTGACAGATGGAAACAAATTGTCTCACCGTTTGGCACTTAATGTCAAAGGAAGCTAGATTAAATCAAGAAAAATATACGTTTTCAAACTCAATCTTAAATAACTTAAAAACGATTTATTTTAGGTATAGGAACATGTATAGTTAAAAAGTAACGAATTTAAAAACCGTTTCATTAGTAACACTGCCCATTAGTGAAATAAAAAAACTGGGTTTCCATTTGAAAAAAATGATTTATGATAATTTTTTAATCACTCAATTGCATGACACCTACCTCCATTATTATATGACATTTGAACAACTTAATTTTTGAAATAGATAGCCACATGTCTTCTCTTTATGTCACAGTGGCTGTGGTAATCACTAAGTCTGACTTTTAGGCTATACAAATTTTTTTGACAGGTAGTTTTTTTCGTCCAAAAAATTTAAATAATTTTTTTATCAAAAACGGTTAATGTTAGATATAGAGTGTTTAGCATCAATATTCATAGAATTTTATAGATAATTTAAGTATGTAATAAAAAATAAGTGTACCCATTTAAAATAAGAAAGTTGCTGCCAACTTTCGGTATTTCCGGAAGTGCCGCCATATTCAAAATATTTTTAATCGATAGATCTCGTCATAAAACAATGATGTGCAAAAAATCTCCGATCTTGTGGTTCTCTAGAAACTTCTAATGCACGCTCAGCCTGGGACACCCTGTATATCGTAAAAGCACGATGTGCTGTTACATGAAAGTTCCTGTTCGATTTTGCAATTATATTGTTTTAGTTTACGACAGTCTAGGTTCATGAATTATGAGTTTATGAGAAAATTATTAGAGAAACTTGTTCGCGTACCAGATGAGCATAGTATATACAGTTCATACCAAATAAACTTTCAGTCGCGTGATTAAGCTTGACCGGCACAGCGTTGACCAATTTTTTATATTTTCTTTTAATCAAAATATTTTAGGAAATAAACAGTTATTATTTACATCAACAAAACTCACCTTCATAACAGCACTAAAGGGACATTACACATAAAGGGCCATTACTACCGGTTTCCCGTTCAAAATATTCTAATAAAGTTGCGATGAGTTTTTTTACGACTATTAAGGTATGTTCTACACTGCGCACTAAAAGAGGTTCTAAAAAGAACAATATTCGATTGCAAGGTCTGCTAGTAAACATTTTTAAGCTTCAAGTATTACAACACTATTTACTTAAACCAAAAACTCGTAATACAAAACTAAAATGTCAAAACGAATAACAATGTCAGGAAATAAATAAATAATGCGGCAACTTTACATTTTTTACAGCAGGGCTACCATCTGAATCCTCCGCGCGAAGTTTAAATTCCAGTTAGTCAGCGCGGCGCCGAATATGTCTATGGTTGGCAACAATGAATTTAAAAATTGCCCCCTCGATTACGTAACTAAAAGTTTAATTTATATCAAATATAGATTGATAGATAGACAAACATTCATGATTTCACCAAAAATCAGTCAAT